GGGTTTAGGCTTGAGAGAGGTTAGGGCTTAGGGTTTAGGATTTAGGGACGATAAGCGGCTCAGACTGCCAGCCTTGCTCCATAACTTGTGTCGGAACAGCCCGAGGATGCATGAAAGCGTCCACTTCCCACCACCAACCCAATGGAGACTCGCCTCTTTCAGTTAAAAAAACCCAGACAAACAGTCTAGGACACACCGGGACTTGTCTGCTGTTGTGAGTATGAGGGCGGACTTCTGAGTTCATAGAAGCGGCTCTTCGCCGGCCCCAAGGATACATTTCGGCATCACAACCCATCGAAAACATAGTCACCTCAAGGCATTTCTGCCGGATGGCGAAGGTAGTTACACCCGGCGCATGGGGAAGAAACTGGCTTGTCGCGAGATAGGACACTTCATACCTAGATACCGAAGCGACTCATTGCATGCTCACCTGCACAAGGATATACGCACAAGTCAGCAAAGACGTATACCTTTTCTGCTTTCCAGATTTCAGGTCGCAGGCTGAACAAGCACACGCAATGCACGGAAACATCTGAACCGTGACCCAGGCTAAAGCTGCCACTCAACCGCTCAAACCGCAGCCAAGACCAGCACCTGAGCCCTAAATTCCAAAATCTCTAAACCCTATATATATATATATACAAATATATATAGAGAGAGAGAGAGACTGCCCTAAACATTAAACTGCGCTAACCTCTGCATCCTTTGCAGGGCTCGGCCTCCCGCGCGGTGTCGCTGCGCGGCGCACTGGAGCTGCGAAGGCCTGTGGCATCTGGGGTTTAGGGTTTAATTAGGGGTTGAGGGCTTGGGGGTTTAAGGATTTAGCAGTTTAGGGCTTTAGAATTTTCGGGGCTAAGGTTTAAAGGGACACTGGGCCTAGGGTCGAGGGTTGCGTGCATCTGCGCGGGTACAAGAGAAACCCTAAACCCTCGACCCTAAAACCCGCGGGAAAATTAGATTCTGGGACCGAAAGGTTTGAGCCCTAGCCACTAAACCCTAGAGCCCTAGACCTTCTAGCCTAATGTAGGGGCCTTGATTTTTGGAATAGGTTTTTGGGGTATCTAATCCTGTAATTATAATAAGGAGCCCCAAAAAAGTATAGGTACTTATTACGGCCCCCGAATTAATCTGCTGGAAACCTGCTCTGAATTCCAAGCCTTGTCGGCAGAAGGACGTCCACGGGCCGAGGCAGGCGCACTGCTCGAGGAGGTTTTCTCCCTCGCAGAATCCTTCCTTGACGTGTCCGAGCACATAGGGGCCTAATTAGTACAAGGTTTTTGGATCATCAACCCTAAACCCTAAACCCTAAACCCTAAACCCTAAACCCTAAAACCCTAAACCCTACTACAACGCACCTAAAGGTTGAGGGTCTCGCAAGGTGCAGCAAGGGGTTGGTCGTGGGTTTCGGGTTCCAAGACGCCGTCTGGCCGGTGCAATGTGGGAGTTCCCGAAAATGAGGGTACCTTACTTTGGGGTCCTTATAATAAAGGATCCGACTATTTAGGGTACTATATTAGGGTCCCCTATTTTGGGGAAACCCCCATGTTCTGTTCCGTCAGGCTCAACACATGGGGGAACGTCTAGTTCGCAGCCTCGCGTCTGAGGCCCGAGTTTGGAGGGTTTTGGCTGAGCATGACCCTAAACCCTAAACCCTAAACCCCAGACCCTAAACCCTCAACCCCGAAAGACAAGAACCCACGATCCGGGTGGCTGGAGGAGCTGCCGACACTCCAAGGTTTGGTCGAAGTAGCCTCAGCACCGGAATCGGCGTTGAGGGCTTTCGGTTTAGGGTTGAAGGCTTTATTCGAGCTTTTGGGTTTGTGTTCGGGTTTCTCTCAAACCTGACCAAGTAACAGCTCCCCCAACCCACTTGCAAGGGGCCTTCTTCGACGTTATCCCGCAAAACCCTATTCCTTCCCTCAGCCCCGAACGGTGTCCTAGCGGGTGCCAGCAACACTCAATGCCTTCCGTAGACTCCATAAACAAGCCTGAGGAGCATAAGTAGATACTCCTAGCCCGTAGGTAGATCCTCTTGCAGTAATTAACACAATTAACAGCTGCGACAAAGGACCATGTGATAATGGGGGGGGAGTGTTTCGAATCTCCAGAAAGCCTTTAAACAGGCACACATTTTTGGCACAACCCCATACACCTCCTTCAATACCACATGAAACCCTACGCTGTCCTGAGACCTAGGCTAAATCACTTGCGGGCTTCGGGAGGCCACGACTTCCATCAGAAGGTCGCATACATAGTAGATTGCCATGGTTTATGGATTATGGTTGAGGGTGTAGGAGTTTAGGGGGTTTGTGTTTAGGGGGTTCACGTGGTAGACGTGGCGGTGGTTCTTTGCGCGCGAGAATCAGCATAAACTCTTTATGCCCCGTGCTCTTGGCACGCCTTACCTGAAGACCAAACCCTAAACCCTAAACAACCCTGAACCCTAAACCCTAAACCTGAAGACCACCACTATGCCACAAATGCCATGCGCACCAGGGTTCTTTAGGAAGTGTCCGGGCACACATCCTACCTCTAGTCTCCATTGTAGTTCCCTTTTTGGTTTAACCAATTATACATCAAGGATTCTATAAGGTATCCCCAAAAAGGAACGACAATGGAGACTATAGGTACTACTTGGGATCCATACCCAGTCCCCTGGCTTTCCGATCTCCCGAACCCTAAAGCGCCAAACAACCCTGAACCCTCATCAGAAACCCAAACCCCAAACCCAACCCCGAAATCTCAAATCCAAACTCCGAACCCAAACCGACAAACTCTGACTCCACTAAACCCTAAACCCTACAACCTGAACCCCAAACCCTAAACCCTAAAACCTAAACCCTAAACCCTAAAACCTAAATCCTAACCCTAAACCCGCAAACGGAACCACAACCCCACAACGGACAAAAAAAGCGCCCCTGTCCGAAGTGCGATTTCGATCGCGGCGGGCCATCTCCAGGCTAAGGCAAAGCTCCTCCAGCTCCTGCTGTGGCATGGTTTACGGTTTAGGGATTACGGTGTTTAGGGTTCAGGGCTTCATGGTTTAGGGTTTGCGGTTTAGGGATTATGGTGTTTAGGGTTTAGGCTTCAGGGTTTAGGGTTTAGGCTTCAGGGTTTGGGGTTTCGGGTTTCAGGGTTTGGGGTTTAGCGTTTCAGGGTTCAGGGTATAGGGTATAGGATTTGGGTTTAGGGTTTAGGGTTCACGGCTTAGGGTTTAGGGCGTGTGTACAGCGTGCGCTCGGTGGGTACGGATTTTACTTAGGAGCAGGGGCACACCCACTTCTCGGGCGCTTGCGTCAGCATGTAGTCCCGCCCCAACCACCCCAGCTATTCTCAATATTAGGGTTGAGGGTTCACCCCCAAACCCCCCTCGAGGCGGGCTTTCTTGCTCTCTTCTTCCCCTCGCAGTTCTGCATAAAATGCGGGTTTCATAGCAGCTTAGGGTTTAGGGTTTAGGGTTTAGGGTTTAGGGTTTAGGGTTTAGGGTTCAGCGATGGCACCCTCTCAAAGACCCCCCCCCCCAAGAAAAGGGCCCCAAGAAAAGGGCCTGGGGCCTGGGATGCGCCAGACCCCTGCCCATGCAAATGGCCAATGGAACTCTCGGCAGTTTGGGCTTTTGGGTTTAGGGTTTAGGTTGGGCCCTGCCCCCCAAACTATCTAAACAATCTCAACCCTCCCCGTTTAGATAGTTTAGATTGCGTAGGTAGTTTGGGCCTTCCGTCCGGCAGGGTTTAAATAGTTTTAGATAGTTTCAGCCCTCCACCCGGCCCCCAACACCATCTAAACTGTCTAAACCCTCCCCTTCCCCTCTCCCCCAAACCAGCGAGACCCTCCCACAACTATCTAAACCATCTAAATCCTCCCGGTTTAGAAAGTTTAGACAGTGTGGGCCCTGCGCCGGGTCCCCAAACAAGTATCTAAACTATCTAAACCCACCCGGTTTACATACTTTAGATAGTTTGGGCCCTCCGCGCGGGCGCGACGCAGAACGCGGCTGCTTCGCTATGTCCGCATACATACAGCCATACATAAGAGTTTGTGCAGAAAGTGGAACTCTCCAGTCTACAGTGACCTCATGTCGAGTACACAATCGCTTTGAGTTTGCCCAATTTTGCCCAATGCTCAGTTGAGTCATGTTCTGCAAGCTGTGGGTGTGTAGGATGTGCTGCCTGCGAGTGTTTAAAAAACACGGCAGAGGAGCATATCATTTGCTGTGAATCATCGCCAGTGCTTACATATTCAACTCGGAAATGCCGGCTGCGACCGATGGTCTAAATGGCAGTTCCTCTCTGGGGTTACCTTATTAGACCCTACATATATACTCCCTAAAACCTAAACCCTAAACCCCAAACCCTAGGGACTACAATGGAGACTGTCGGTAGTTTCCACGGTTCAAAGGGCAAGCGGCGAGATGGGTTAATCTGCAGCATGTCTCAGGGTTTTGGCTTTTGGGTTTACGGAGATCCAGTGGGTCCATGGTGCCTTGCTCACAGCACCTGCACTTACTCCACTTCTTGTAGCAGAGTGCGGCCCAATGCCTTATTCCAGCACAAATCCCTTCAACCCGAACTTTGAGCCCAAATTCTCACGCCTGAACCCCTAAGCCCAACTAAACCCTAACTAAACCCCTAAACCCTCAACCCTAAACTCTACACCCTAAACCCTAAACCCAAAGACACCTTGAAACACTGAAGCCTGATGTGTCCCTGCCTGCTCACGGGAGAGCTCAAGCCTTGCAAACATGGGTTTAGGGTTGAGGGTTTAGGGTTTAGGGGTTTAGGGT